ATGTGTCCTTGGAGAAGCTCCAGCTCATGGGCAAAGCCATCGAGAACCTTCATGCAGTGCCTGGCCCTGGCTGTGGTCGCGGTGTTGATGGGCCTCAGGCGTGTGAAGCTCTCCTGTCTGAGCTGACCCCTGTTCGGCTGGAATTCCTCATCGGTGCCAGGCCCTGAAACCTCCCACAGGAGCTTGGTCCCCAACCTGAGCCTCTCTCAGAAATGCCCTTCGTGCCATTTCACTCTGTACAGAGGGGCTTTCCTGAGTGTGTTCCTCCTCTTCCATTATCTGAAGGAGCTGCAACTCCATTTCTGGATCCAATTCAGCCCCATACTCCTGTCTTTGATCACCCAGTACAGAGGGGACCAGGCAGATTGGGAGACCTCTTCATGGGCCTACTCCTGGGCCTGGCCAAAATGGCCCTCAGCAGCTCCAGGCAGCGGGCAGTCAACGGTTATATTTTCCCTGACTGTCTGACCCTGTTCCTTGGCTAGTCCGTGCCCGAGTGTCCCTGGAGATCAAGCACATGGTGTCCATGGGTACACTTCAGGCCTTCAGTGACCGGTAGGTACAGGGGGACACTGGACTGGGTCATTTATCCCAGAAATGCCATTTTAATTCTATTTAAATTTCCTATAAAGTCATGCTTTTGTCTGTTGCAGTGGGTCAGTAATGCCATTTTTAAATATAGATGGTGACAATGCTGTGGCTTTAAGAGGTGTATTTTCTCCTGGTTTCTGTGAAGGGAGAGATTGATTGAGAGGTGATGAGCAGTCTATAATAAAGTAAACAGCTTGTGAGGTCTTGGTTTTTTTAAATTTGGTACAATAGAATCAGCCTGCCAGCTCTCACAAAACCAGGATTTTTCATTATTTCAGCAGCAATTGCTGTTGGCATCTCAAAGAAGTGGAAATTATTTTTGCCCCTCTCTTGATTACAGCCAAAAGCTGGAGGTTTTGTTCCTGACAGGCTGGATTGCATATGAGACAAATCTATGTTCTGAATTTGCCTTTTGCCAAGGGTGTGTTAATACGTTTTACTATATTAGATCAGTCAATTAATAATAATTACTGTATCTATTATTCTGTTAAGTTTTTCAATAGAATTGAGTTATTCGAATTCCTTCTTTCTTTCATTGTATTTTAATTACAGTGTTTGAAAAAATTGTGTTTTGCTTAATGTTGAGTAGTTTGATCAACTGAATTGAATTCAGAACACTGCACCATACATTAACCTTTAAATTAAGAAAATATGAGGGTCTCAGCTACCTTCTTAATATATGAAGAGGGGGTCTGGTCTGGTCCATAAAAAGATTCCATTATTTTTGGATTTTTCACAAAGTTATAAATAGACCCAAACTGAAACTGGAGTTGTTGAGTCAGGAATTGTGTGTGTAATTTTGCAAATAAATGGTTAAAAAAGTGTGGAAATATTGGTTCCAGTTCTATCCGGTTCATCAAGTTACTTTCCGGAATCGAACATTTTGGAGGAGATTACCACGAGTCCTTCACAGAAGAAGCATTGGTTGGTGTAGTTCCCAGGACAGAGACAGTCATTGTGATCACTGTGCCCTGTTAGGTAAGACTGTCTCAGGGAGGGGTTGTAGTACAATGTCCTCTTACTGCTATGATGTGTTGCTGCTTTGCTGGTAGGCTTCAAATGTTTCACAAATAAAGTTTAAATTGATTTGATTGACACTGTATAGTCGTGTCTGGTTTAAGCACCTTGACCCCAGATCATATTTAGGAACACAGTCAATCATTTCACTAACAGCTGCTATGAGCTCCTCTAATCTGGTTCCAATCTTACCCATCCAGGCAGAGCCAGACATTCACCAGAAGTGGATTCTCTTGCCAATCCCCCAAAGATTTGTCCTTGACCTCTTCCCATTTCACAACCACGTGCTGCCTTGGTCACTTCCTTAAAAAAACATGTTAAGTTCCACATTTCTGCTGATGACACCCAGCTCGATCTCCCCACAACTCAGACAGTTACAGAGGGGATGCACCCTCTCACCTTCTGTAAAAAGATGATGCACAGACTCCTCCCCTTGAGAGTGAAATTTACAATATTGATTCTGTCCAACTTGATATTTTTCCAAATTCATTCTTGTGATAGGAGGTGTCACTGACAAGGGTAGTGTTTATTGTCCATCCCTTGTTATCCCTGATTGGATGGCTCTTCCAGGGAACTGGAACAGGTGTGATGGACTGAAAGGCCTCTTCCTGTGCTATCTGATACCATAATCAATCACAGTTTATTCAGAATGAGAATCACATTTGACAAATCCATCAGGAACCAATTCTCAATGTTAGCTGCAGACAGCAGAGCTGCTTTGTAAACCTGCAGAGAGAACATAGCCAGCAGATGCTGACCACACGTTGAGTTCACTCCTGTCCAGTCAGGAGTATGGAGAAATATTCCAATCACCAAGCTCTGGATGGATTTATCAGGATTCCTATTAGACAGGAGACATCAGCAGACGATGCAGCAAGAACAGATCACAAACAACATCGGAAAATCCTGGAAATACACAGTAGCTCAGACAGTAACTGTGGAGAGAGCAGGTAGCTCGATATCTGAACACTGCAGCCTTTGTCGGAACACCATCAGATCTTGCTGTTTTTTGGTGCTGTTTAATTCGCCATCACTTCTCCAGGAATGTCCACCTCCAGGAAGTTCCATTCCTCTGTTTGACGTGACCTTCCTTTGTCTCTGTTCCCTGCTCCCTCTCTCCCTCCTTGTGTTTGATTGGGTATGTGTCAATCAATGTGAGAGCCAGCAGATCTAACAGGAACTTTCACAGGGAAATGGGATAAATACATAAGAAGTTCCAAGGGAAAGTACAGGGTGAGAGAGATATTTGGATAGTTCTTTCCAAAAAGCTCCAAGCAGAAGAATGGGCCAAATGGCCTCCTTCTGTGCTGTAAGACTGTCTAAATCTATAACTGGAATGGGAGTGAGGTACCACTCATTAATAAAAGAGTAGAGCATTGAGTGAGCATGCCCCTTTCCTATCAGCTTAGAACAAAAAAAGAACAAAGAACAAAACAGCACAGGAACAGACACCTTCGGCCCTCCGAGCCTGCACTGCCACATTTTGCCCTTCCATATTAAAACTGTCTTCAAATACAGGATCCATATCCTTCTATTCCCTTCCTATTCATTTATTCATCCAGGTGCTTCTTGAATATTGCTGTTGAGTCTGCTTCCATCACCACCTCTGACAGTGCGTTCCAGGCATTCAACACCTGCTGCATGAAAAACATGCCTCGCGCATCTCTTTTAAACTTCCCCTCTTGTCCCTTGAACCTGTATCCCCCCCATAAATGACCCCTCCACCCTGGGAAAAAGCCTTATACTTAGCACTCTATTTGTGCTATTCACAATTTCATAAACGTTGATTAGGTCACCCCTCAACCTCTTGTGTTCTAATCAAAACAAACCCAATCTACCCAAGACAACAAGGTGCAGAGCTGGATGA